CAGCGCCACGCGGCGCGAGCCCCGCCAGCCCCGGCGCACCTGCTCGGGGCGTGGCCTCCGGCGAAGGCGCGCCTCGATTGGCGCCGAGGTGACAAAGGGGCGTGGCATCCTTCGACCACGCCCCTCCAGAGGCTGGAGTACTTAAAGGAGTTGGCGGCGCGTCTCCACTCAGAGCGCAGCGGCACGGCCTCGCGGGTGGAGTGCCTCGCGACCCCTGTGCGAACCGGCGACCCCCGGCTGCTTTGGCCACCATGCCGCGCTCTTTCCTCGTCAGGAAGTCCGCCTGCTCCCGCCGGAGGCCCAACTACAGCGAGCTGCACGACTCTTCTCCAGGTGAGTGGACGGGGTGAGGGACCCCGGGGGGCTTCGGGGAGACCGGCGAAGGCTGGCTGGGAGGGAGGAAGGAGGGGGGACTCGGGGGCAAAATCCTGGGCCCAAAATGGAGCCAAGGGGCCGGGCGCGGGGCGGTGTGCGGAGGGGTGTGAGGAGCCCGGGGCAGGTGAATGGACTGTTGGAGGAGGGCTTTCCGAGGGCGGTGGTCTTGCGTGAGTTGTCTGCTCGGCGGCCGACAGGGGAGAAGCGGGGCGGGGCGACTGGGGAAAGGAGGGGGCCCGGGCCTGGCGGGGACGCAGGGGCAGGGCCCCCGCCCCCGAGTCGGGGCTGGGCGGCGCCCTGCGCGTAAGATCTGGAGGCCGGGGCGGGCGAGCGGGGCGGCCGGGGTGAAGAGGGGCTCCCGGCGGGCAGGACGGGCCGTCGGGGCCGCGATTCTTTCCTCCCTCCAGTAAGTACTGAGCGCCGGCCCCGCGCGCCGCCCCCCCCCCCACTCCGCCCCCGCCCCCGCCCCCGCCCCAGCAGGCTACGGTTTGTTGACTGACTGCGCGACCGACCGAATGCCTGACCGAATGCCCTTTTCTCCGTCTCCCCCCAGAGTTTACCTTCCAGCAGCCCTACGACCAGGCCCACCTGCTGGCGGCCATCCCGCCTCCCGAGGTCCTCAACCCCACGGCCTCTCTGCCCACGCTCATCTGGGACTCTCTCCTGGCGCCCCAAGCCCAGCCCATCGGCTGGGCCGCCCTTCTGCCCCAGGAGGTCCCCAAGGCTGCGGAGCTGACCTCCCTGTCGGACGACGACAGCGGGAAAGGCTCGCAGCCGCCCAGCCCCCCCTCGCCGGCCCCTTCGTCCTTCTCCTCCACCTCGGCCTCTTCCCTGGAGGCCGAGGGTTACGTTGCCTTCCCAGGCCTGGGCCGGTTGCCCGCGCAGCTGGCCGGGCTCTCCGTGGCCAAGGACTCCCAGACTCGCAAGGCCTTCAGCTGCAAGTACTGCAACAAGGAATACCTCAGCCTGGGCGCCCTCAAGATGCACATCCGCAGCCACACGCTGCCCTGCGTCTGCGGCACCTGCGGGAAGGCCTTCTCCAGGCCCTGGCTGCTGCAGGGCCACGTGCGGACCCACACCGGTGAGTGTCCCTGCGGGCCGCCGCCCTCCCGCCCGCGCCCCCGCCTCCGCCTGTCGGCCGGCCGGCCCGAGGTCAGGGTGGGGGGCCGGGCCGGCTGCCGCTTTCGGGGTGCGCAAACTGAGGCTCGGGCCTGCTCGCGGCGCTCGGAGACGCCGGGCGGCCACATGCACTATTTCGCCGGTCAGCCAGGCAGATGGGCCGGGTGGGTGACTTTGTGAGACTCCGCAGCCTCCGATCCTTCACCGGATGGGCTGGAGTTGGGGGTCCGGGGAAAGGTGCAACCAACACCTAGCTGTCGGGGCCAGGTGTGAAGGAGCCCACCGCGCCCCGCCCTCCCCACCCCCACCCCCACCCCCTCCCCAGCCAGGCAGGATGTTGTCAGACCCCCCACCTGGCTCAGAATCCTGCTTGCAGAACTTCTTCCAACCTTGCTCTGCTGTGTCCCCACTCTGGCCTCAGTTTCCTCCTCTGTAAAATGAGCATGAGACCAGCCTGTGGGGGTTCTGCACGGGTTACCTGAAAGAAAGCATATGCAGAAAGCACCTGGGCCACCACTCGATACGTGATAACGAAAATGTTTTTTTTTAATGTTTGTTTATTTTGAGAGAGCCAGCAGGCGAGTGGGGGAGGGGCAGAGAGAGGGGAGAGAATCCCAAGCAGGCTCCACACGGTCAGCACAGAGCCTGATGCGCGGCTCGAACTCACACAACGGTGAGATCGTGGCCTGAGCTGAAATCAAGAGTTGGGGCGCCCAGCTGACTGAGCCACCCCGGTGCCCCCTGCACAGAAATGTTTTTGATGTTCGCGCCGCTTCCGTGCTGTGTGAACTTGGGCAAGTGATTGAACCTCTCTGAGCCTCAGGACTCTGATAGCACTTGTTAGGGGCGGGTATCAAGATTCAGTGTCTCCTTAATCACTTCATAATAATTTGTTATCATGGTTCTCAGGGCTGCTCTCCCTGCCCCCACCGTGGACTAGATAAACTTAGTCCTATCTTGCGGCCCTGGGAATACCTTTGCCGGCAGAAAACACAGTTCTACCTGTGTTTCAAAAACATGAGACTAAATGTGTAGAAAATTGTGAAATGGAGACTTTTCTATCCTTTAACTCTCTGGAAATGTGGAAAAGGTAGCCGCTGCGTCCTTTCAGAACTTGAAAGGTGGCTGCTCTTTGGGGTGTGACTTTGGGAGAAGGTTCAAGGGTCGTAGCTAGCAGCTTTGGGGTCAGGCTGACGGGTTTGGAGACCTCAGTTCTGGCATTTCCTGGCCCAGTGGCTGACCTCTGAGCCATGAGGGTCAGTGGGGTGGTTTGTTTAGGCCTGGCGTTTTGCAGGCATTATTGATATTATGACTCCCACAAAGTGTCCCGGGCATCCCCCCCTTCCCCCCCCCCCCCCCCGCTTGCAGACGACCCCCCTCCCCCCACCCCCCGTCTCTCTCACTTCGTGCACACACAGCCCTGATTTTAAAGGGACCTGATGTAAAGGTCCCGCCAACTGCCAGGCCTCTGTCCTGGGCTGAAGAGGGCTCTATTTGGGGGAGTTGAAACCATTGGGGTGCTCCCCTGAGCCCCCCAGCTTCTCCCCCCTCCCATTCTGACATTATTTTCATGTAAAGGCATGGCTCAGACACAAAAAGCCTGTTGAAATGCACCATCACCATCCTCATTGACTCCCATTGTGTGTCTTAATGGTGGGCCCAGTGGGTGGGGGCTGGGGGAGTGGAGCAGGTGCATGGGCCAGTGGTGCCCAGCACCTGTTCCCGGCCTCAGCTGCTGGCCCGCAGCGTGTCAGGCCCCTTTAATCCGGGGAGTATCGCATGTACAGTGCCCCCCTCGGCGGCCTTTGTCCCCGCCGGCCTGGTGCCGATTTCACACTCGCCAGGATCACCATAAAGACGTCTGCGGGGGTGGGGGATCTGCAAGGGGTGCAGGTCTGTGCTTGCTGCTTGCACACACAGACCCCCCCCCCCAACCCCATCACATCCTACCAAGGCCTCTCTCCTTTGTTCACGGTTGTGTCTGATCCTACGCAGCGTAAAGGTAGCGTTCACTGAGCACTTGCTGTGTGGGAAGGGTATTGCCCAGGGCCTCCTTTACCTGGGTTAATGCAGTAAATCGACAGCCCCAGGAAGGAGGTGCCGTTGTAACCCCCACCTTACAGATCAGGAAACTGAGGCACAGAAGGAAATCACTTTCCCAAGTCACAGCTCACAAGGCTGGAGCCAGGGTCGCTTCACTTCTGTCAAGGAGGTGAGAGGGTAGTGGCTCTCCGTGCCCTGGGGAAATAGGACTCCGTGCCCCCTTACCCAGATCTGTGTCCAGTAAGCCCTTAGTTCACCAGGGAGTGTGTGAAGGAGGAAGAACTTCATGTGGACCTTGTAGTGCAGTCATCAGACCTTCCTGGCCTAGTATGCAGAGGGTGCTCAGTAGTGACCGAGCCAGTTAACTCAGACATCCCTTCCCTAGTCCTCCTGCTAAGTCCCCCTGCTCCGTGGTGTGGCCTGTTGCCTTGTCTCTCTCTGCCCCAGGAGACTGAGCCCTTGAGTGGACGGTTCCACAGTCAGCCTCAGGCATCTGACTTTGGACCCCTCCCTCCCGGTGCCCAGCACAGTGCCCCAGGCACCCAGAGGCTGATGGAATTCATTCATTCCCTGCTCTTGAATTCCAACACAGATTTAACCAGTGGGCCATGGCCTAGGGGCATATCAGGCTGAGAGTGGGAGGATAGAATTTTACTTTGTAGTAAAGAATGTTCAGTTTTATTGGCTGGCACATAGTGGAAGCTTGATAAGTACTTGTTTAATGAGCTACTATTTGGCCTTCTTATTTAGTAGGAAATGCTGCACCCCCAAGAAAACACAATAACATTGTCGGTGTTTTCGGACTGTGTACTTATATCGTCTTCGTTGGGGCAGGAATTAGGAAAAATTGGTGAACAGCATTATCTGGTGGTGATTGAGGGGTCAGGCTCCTCTGAGGCTTTAAAAAACAACAGACTTCTCTTTGTATAAACACTTCTTGAGTGAGCACGTACTGTGTACCTAGCTCCGGGAGCAGGACTCTTTTCGGCACGGCCTGGGCCAGGCAGGTGGTACGAGGGGCACAGGTAGAAAGGGGTTCTAAACAAGTCATAAGGTAAAAGGTTTCTGTCACCTTGTGGCGGGGTCCCAGGCCCTGGGCTAGAGGCTTGGGGTGAATCCAGGGGAGATCCCTGAATTTCAAGACTTGAGATCACTGACAACGAAGGGAAGGAAAGAACATGGTCGGCAGGCAGCAGCACTGTGATGCGGAAGCAGCTCAGAGAAGTGGCCTAACCTGCTGGGGGGAGGGGTGTGGCCGGGAGCCTTTAAGGTTGACTCCAGCTTTGTCCCCCGATGAAGTGAATCCCGGCGTGAAAATAAGGAGTACCCACTAGAGCCCCCTTACCTGAGAGGCCGTCTGTGTAGTGGTTAAAATCAAGGGCTCTGGAATCAGGGTGCTTGGTTCTTGCTGGATGACCCTGCATATCCTACGTGGCTTCTCTGGGCCTCAGTTTCACCGTTTCTAAACTGAGGACAGAGGTAGGACTAAATGAGGCGAGAGTCCCTGGCACAAAGTAAGTGTTCAGTAAATTCCGTCACCATCATTGTCATGGTGTGTTGAACACCCCCGGCCAGCTTGCCATGATGAGGGCTTTACTTACCGGCTCTGGATTACTGACTCCTATAGGTGCGGGGGTGAACAGCTCCATTTTACCGACGAGCAAATGGGGGCTCAGAGAAGCCAGATGACTTGCTCAAGGTCACCCGGTGGGAGGTGGCAGAACTCTCGATCACATCTAGGACTTTGGGCACCAGATAATAGGGCCTGGTTTTTCTGGGTCATGGGATTCCTTCAGGGTTGGGGTGATCTGGCTTCTGAAGGCCGGGGTGGGGGGACCAGGATTTCAGATAAATGCCAGCTGTTACCCCAAGTGGTTTAGCACTCGACTCTCCCGTTTTCTGTCCTCAGGAGAGAAGCCCTTTTCCTGCTCCCACTGCAGCCGAGCCTTCGCCGACCGCTCCAACCTTCGGGCCCACCTCCAGACCCACTCGGATGTCAAGAAGTATCAGTGCAAGACCTGCTCCCGAACCTTTTCCCGCATGTCCCTGCTGCACAAGCACCAAGAGTCAGGCTGCTCGGGGGGCCCCCGAGCCCCCCGCTGACCCTCAAAGCTCCTTCTGCCTCTCCAGACCCTCCCCCGGCCATTGCGGCCTCCATGCTTCCAACTGCCACGGAATTCCCTTCTGAGCTCCCCCTTTTGGCTGCGTTTGCCCCGCAGGACTCTGAGGACCTTTTTCCAGTTCTCTCTGCCCTGGTGCCTCGGTGGGCTCTGAGAGAGGCCTTCCCGTGGACGTTTCTGTGAACGGCTGGTGGGGAGGGTGGCGTGCAGCCAAGCGTTCTGGAGTTGGCCTCTCTGTGTGGGTTTGTGTATCCAAAGGTGTTTGGATACAGCTGCTTTGAGCTCCGGGACAAAAGCAGACAGACTGATAGGAAGCTCCCCCCACTCAGGGGAACCCACTCCTCCCCCACCCGGAACCCTCAGGCCACCCCTCCAGGAGGTGTGACTAACCGCGCAGGTTCACCCCCAGGGCCTGTGGGGGCGGTCACTGACACAAGGACTGGTCTGGACCCCAGGTTGCCCCCGGGCCTGGGCAGCTATTTCAGCCTCCTGTTTGTCATGGTGGCACCTGTTTCATGGGCAATTTAACAACGTCTCAAAAGAGACTGTGAGTAATTGCTGTCACTTGTTGGGGGCCCGAGTGGGGTGCTTCAGCCTGACCGATGTGTCTCCCAGAACTATTTTTGGGGTCTGACAGGTGGGCCTGGGAGGAAGATGTTTACATTTTTAAAGGTACACTGGTATTTATATTGCAAGCAACATTTTGTACTAAGGAAACGTTTTGTATAGTTATATGTACAGTTTATTGATATTCAATAAAGTGGTTAATTTATGTATTAAGAAAGTCTACTTAGTTTTCTAGAGGGGTGGGTGTTTTAAAGGGCCTTCAGGAAGGGAGGAGGGGCCAGGGGTCCTTGGAGCTCGGATATTCCCGACACGGGCTTAAATCCTGTCCTCTTAAACGTCATGTGGCTTTGGACTTCTGACTTTGACTGTCATGGACTTTATTCGTGCACGTGGGTTTTCCTCTGAGCCTGGGTGTCCTGTCTGGTGGGGAGGGTGGGAACACCTGTGGGCCAGTGAGCAGTGGGGGGCGGGGGGGGTGGGATGCGCACGTTCCTTGCACTTTACATGTGACCCTGATCGATTCATCCTTCCATTTTGAGGCGGACCAGGCCCACAGGGTGAGAAGCCAGCTCCCAGGCTGCCGGCTTTGCCCCAGCACTGCAGGTCTGGGGAGGGATTGGCTGCTTCTCCCAGATGAGGGCGTGGAATGCGCTGAGCACGAAGGGGACAGAGGATGTGCTTCCTGTTTCCAAGGGCTCCGGGCCCCACTCTGGCCTCCCTGTCGGACCCACACCTCTGTCTGGCTGCTGGGTACCAAATGGCCTTTGATGCAAGGAAATTGGCTGGCTGGAGCCGAGAGGGTGAGAAGCCAGGCCAAAGGGTAGGGGTCATTCAGCTTCCTGCTCGAGGACAGGACGGGAAGACGGTTAGCTTGCGTCCTAGGCTGGGATAATTCACTCCTGGCTGGTTGTCACGGTGACCTCACCTCTGGGGCCCTCCTGGGGCCAGGAGAAAATGAGTGTCCGTTCTGAGCACAAAAGGTGCTGAAGGTGCCAGTTTCCTGCGGGGAGCCGAGCAGGACTCCCAGGCGTCCCAGAGCCCCAGAGTCAGGCCGGGGGTGGGGGGAGCTTCATGTTCCAAAGGAGAGATGATTCTTTCTTCTAAACAGGAAATGGTGACCCGCGGGCCGGGAGCAGCCCTTAATGACTTGCAGCTTTCCTCCCAAAAGAAAAAAAAAAAAGTTCTCTAACAATCGCCAAATTGTAGCTGGCCTCCCTGAAGGGAAGTTAGGGAGTTGCGGGGGTTGGGGGCTGGGCACCAATTTGCTGAGGGCCTACTGTGTCCTGTGTCCCTGGGCCGTCATGTATATTCACCCCACAGTAGGTGCCGACACCAGTGGTGAGGGAATAAATGACTTCCCACACTCCGGGGTGGGGAGGGGGGTGGGGACAGGCCTGCTGGAAACCCCTCCCCGACACCCGGAATGGGGTGTGCCAGGCTCCGAGCATTCTGGGAGTCAGGGATGCCTGGCTTGTGCCCCTGTCAGGGCCCAGAGCCAGGCGCTGCCCCTCTGGGCTCCCCAGTTTCTGCCTGCATAAAATGGGGTGATGGCTGTGCCTTCCTTCCCGGAGACCGGAAAGGGACCTTCCTTCAGTAGGTCTTGAGGAGCACTGCGTGTGCCAGGCCCTGTTCTAGGCCCCTGGGGCACAGCGGTGAACAGACGGTCCCCCCTGCACTCGTGGAACTTCGGTTCTAGTGGGGGAGACAGAAAACAAGTGACTGACCACACAAGCCGCTTTCCTCCGGTGACACTCTGCCAAGACAGAATTCGAGCGATGGGGCAGGCTCACCCCATGAGGCAGGCCGCCGGCGGCAGAACCGGAGCCCTGGGCGGGCGGCGTTGACAGTCCAGTTGAGACCTGAAGGGAGAGAAAGTTCCAGGCGGGAGGGAGCAGCAAGCACGACCGCTTGGAGGCTGGAATGAACTTGCCCTACGCAGAGCAAGACCAGAGCAAGACCAGGGGGCCGGGGACAGGGGGACGGGGTGGGATGGGTGAAGCATTTGTATCCCGGAGAGGATGTGTGCCTCCTGAGGACTCGGGAGTGTAGCCACCGAGCCTCTGGGCAGCCGTGGGCACCCAAGCATTGAGTGAAGCCTGCTTTACTTGCCCGCCCGGCTCCTGGTGGAGAATGCAGGGGTGGGGGTGGGGGGGATGAGCTGGGAATCCCAAGGTCCCGGGGCTGAGATGATGCTGGCCCGGCCCAGGGTGACAGAGGCCGTGGGAGACTGATTCAAGAGGCCGGGTGGCCGGGGTGCACACCTGAGGGCTAGTAGGTGAGGGTTATTTGGGGTTATTAAAACAAAAAGGGCTGTTGGCCCCGGGGAGCCCAGGTGGGTGGGGATAAAAGGAATGAGGGGCGTCCCTGCGTCCTGATAAGGGATCGTCCCCGCTCAGCCATATTGCTAAGTGAAAAATAACTTGCAGTACATGCTCCCTTTTGTGGGAAGAAGAGGGGGTGGAAATAAACATGTATTTCATTCCTGTTTGTATTTGCATATGGAAACTCTGGATTTACAATAAAATAATAAAAGCATTTCTCTAGGGAGTCACAGGAGGTGGAATGGGGTGGTCTGAAAAAGAGAGGAGAAGGGAAACAGTTTTTAGAGTTTATTATTATTATTATTATTATTATTTTAAAGACTTTTTTTTTTTTTTCCTTAAGTAATCTCTACTCTCAATGTAGGGCTCGAACTCATGACCTGGAGAATCAAGTGTCACATGTTCTACCAACTGAGCCAGCCAGGTGCCCCAGTTTTTTAGATTTTTAAAGTACTTTGTATTTTGAAATAATTTAACCTGACAGAAAAGTACAAAAAGCTGGACTCTTTCATTCAGATTCTTCAAAATATTGAATATTTTCTTATGCTTGCGTTTGCTCTCTGTATACACATATATATACACGTACCCACACATTATTTATTTTGGAGCCATTTGAGAGCAAGTTGTAGACATTGATGCCCCTTGACTGTTAAACATTTAAGCATGGAGGGGCACCTGGGTGCCTCAGTCGGTTCTTGATTTCAGCTCAGGTCATGATCCCAGGGTCGTGGGTTCGAGCCCTGTGTTGGGCTCCGCATTGAGCACGGAGCCTGCTTAAAATTTTCTCTCTCTCCCTCTGCCCCTCCCCTAACTCATGCTTTCTCTCTCCCTCTCCCTCTCCAAAAAAAATTTTTTTGAGCATGGATATTTAAGGACAAGAACATTCTCTCATATAACCATATAGTTTGATGATCCAAATCAGGAAATTGAGCATCGGTGCTATACTGTTATCCAATGCACAGCCATAACCAAGTTTCTATAGCTGTCCCAGTGATGTCTCCCACAGCACACGGGGGGTGCCGGTGAGGGGAGATCCCGGGTCCCACGCTGGTCCTGTCACCTTACTTTCTTTTATCCTGGAATAGCTCTTTTCTTGGCCTTTCACGATTTTGACGTTATTGAAGTGTCCAGACCAGCTATTTTGTAGAACGTCCCCCAGTTTAGACGTTCCTGATGCTTCCTCATGATTAAGCTTGGGCGGTGCGCTTTTGGCGAAACCACAGAAGTGGCGTTGTGTCTTTCTCAGTGCAAGGTATCATGAGGCACACGAGGTCCACTTGTTCCGTCACGGGTGACGTCAACTTCGACCACTTGGTTCAGGAGGGTCTGCCAGGTTTTGCGGGGATAAAGTTCCTCTTTTTCCCCTTTTGTACTTAATCCGTATCTTGTGGGGAGACACTCCAAGACCATGTGAATATCCCGTTACTCCCCAAACTTCCACCGACTGTTCCAGGCCTCACTGGCGATTTTTGCCTAAATCAGTTCTTACTGTGGTGGTTGCCGAGTGGCGATTTTCTAGCTCCGCCGTTCCTTCTCTTTTTACTGGTTGGCTTTGTACCAGAGGGCAGAACTTGCCCCCTCTGTCTGGGCCCAAGCAGCTCAGAGCCGTGGGGCTGCCAGAGATGGAGTGGGAAGCAGGGACTGGCGGGGCCATTCGATCCTCCCCTGGGCTCTTCTTTAAGGAGAGTCCAGGAAGGAAACTGGCTGTAAAGCTGATCGCCACGCAGTGTCCAGGCGGTCAGGGCTGGGGCCAGGGCCACCTCTGGGCACATCTGGGCCCATTCGGGACCTGGCGGCTACTCAAGGGCAATGCTTGAGCTGGGATGGGGGTACTCTGGCAGACGGGGATCTGGATCCTACTTGCTCCTTTTTTTTTTTTTTTTTAAGCTTATTTACTTTTGAGAGAGACAGAGTGTGAACAGCGGAGGGGCAGAGAGAGAGGGAGACACAGAATCCGAAGCAGGCTCCAGGCTCCGAGCTGTCGGCACAGAGCCCGACGCGGGGCTCGAACCCACGGACCGTGAGATCATGACCTGAGCCGAAGTCGGACGCTCAACCGACTGAGCCACCCAGGAGCCCCGGGAGTTTATTCTTTAATTAAAAAAAAAAAAAAAAAAAAAAAAATTTGAAAAGATTAGATGGGAGGCTCCTTTGACGTGTGATTAACACACCTTATCCTAGTGCCTTTACTGTACCCAGTGTGGCAAAGGGCTCAGTTTGTATTTGTCTAAATTAAAAAATAAATATATATATTTACGTGGGCATGTACTCCAGTCTCGCTCACAGGAAGAGCCGAGCCCTCCCCTTGGCCCACAGTGCTGGCTCTGCCCCTTCACCGCTGCCTTATCCCCTCCCCGATGCCCTCACTCCCTCCAGCCTCCCAGGCTCCCTGCCACCTCAGGGCCTTTGCACTTGCCTCTTTTCCTCCTCTCAGAGAACCACAGGCTGGGTCCTGGCAGCCATCCCTCTCCCCTTTGCATCCAGTGCCTTCCCCTCTTGACGTTTTTCCCCACAGCACTTGTCACCGTCCGACAAATCATATTTTCACCATTCACAGCTTCTGTGTTGACCGTCTCGCCCACCATAATGTCGGCCCGCCGGGAGTGGAAATTTTATCTGCTTTGTTCACTGTCCCATCCCTGATCCCTCATTTCTCTTGTGCAGGAGGTGTACTCTTGGTAAAATTTTGCCGAATGATGAATACATGTGTGCCCCCAGGAAATACACCACAGTCACCACTCTTACGGGGCACTTTCTAGGTGCCGGGCACTGAGTGCCTCACATGGATCAACTCATTAGACTTTCACACCTGACTCAAGAAAGAGAAAAACAAGACACAGAGAGGTTAAGTAACTGGCCCAAGGTCACCCAGCAAATAAGTGGCAGAGTAAG